CGATAAACGCAGCTGCTCGACGTCCTCGACGAGGTCCGCGCGAGCGCAAAGCGGTCGAGAATGTCGCAGTCGAGATCGAGAAACGCACGGGTTGTTTCCTCACGCGAGAACGTCAACGTCTGGAACGTCATCCTCGGAAGATAGAGATAGGGTTCCTCCTCTCAACAGTCTCAACCAGGCGGAGGATATGTATTTCAGTAAATGTAAGCACGAATTGAATAAGATTTTCATAGCGAATCCGAATCTCGTCCACGACGTCGTGGACTTTTGGAAATTCGTCGAGAAATACGAGTCCGTGACCGTCAACAAGCGATTGGGCGACAGTGACGAATCTGTGGCCGATTTCGCTCGAAATCGAAATCGAACGTCCATCGGGCTCCCGGAAAAGTATCACAAGTCCCATTGTCTAAACTTGAAGCTTGCTTTGTCCTACGGGGAATTGTTTGCCAGAGTCCCGGAGGCAAAATCTTCGTTGACCGAATCCCGACTGCTCAACTTCCGAGACGTGATACTCTTGTACTTGGACTTTAAGCAAAAGGAGAAATTCGCCAAGTTAAAGAGGCTCCGAGACGCACAAGCCAACTTGCCGGTTGCGCGATACAAAGAGGATATTATCGAGATGGTAAAGATGGAGAAAGTAATCATCGTCGCAGGAGACACTGGTTGCGGGAAATCTACTCAGATCCCTCGATATTTGTACGAAGCTGGTTTCCGGAAGATTGGTAAGGTGCTTTTATCACTTTAGAGAGACCGTTACTCGTCTAAATACAGTCTTAATATTTTCTCATCCGTCGTATATATTCTATCTTCTATCATATATTCTGTGCTCTGTATACAGCATGTACGCAACCCCGAAGAATAGCGTGCATCTCATTAGCGAAACGAGTAGCTTTCGAAACATTGAGCGAGAATCTGAATAAAGTTGGCTATCAGATACGTTTTGAGAAACAGAGGAATCAAGAGACAAACATTACGTTTATAACAGAGGGCTTATTGTTGCGCCAGGTAGCATATCTCTATAAATATCTACAACGTACGTGACGTAACAGACCGAGTCTACGTTTACAACGTACAACGTGTTTTACACAGGTGTCGGGTGAATCAACTTTATCCGCATACGACGTGATAGTCTTGGACGAGGTACACGAACGTCACCTGCATGGGGATTTTTTATTGGGCATTATGAAATGCATCATTAATCAAAAACCTGACTTGAAATTAGTATTAATGTCCGCCACCATTAATATACAACTTTTTAGTACGTATTTCGCAAAGGAAAATGTTAAAATAATAGAGGTAAGTCTCTGCAGTATATTTGGTCATATATATTTTAATAATTCCAAATGCTTGATTGAACGCGCGCGCGTTCGTGCACATTTAAATACTTTTCGGTATAAGCTAAATATACATATCAGGCACACCAATAGGATTTTCCATTTTCTATTTTCCATACAGGTCCCTGGCAGATTGTATCCCATTCAATTGTTCTATCGCCCTGTAACCGTAGAAGACCTCAGATACAAAAATGATCGATTTAATCCCAGTCCATATGTGCAAATAATGCAAATAATTGATCAAAAATATCCAGGTAGGGAAGCCTATATCTTAATACGATAATAATCTAAAATGAAATGAAAAAATCAGTTATAAAGGTTGTAATAAAGAGTAAAAGTAAGACATTTCTTCTCCGTCCTTGTTTACTATTTCATTTTATTCAAAGTTTCCATACAAGTACAAGTGTGTGAAATAATTACAACAATAGGAATATTTCAGTCGACGAAAAGGGTGATTTATTAATATTCTTGAGCGGAATAAGTGAAATTACTGCAGTCGTAGATGCTGCCAAGGAATATAGTATAAAGAAAAATAACTGGATAGTTTTACCACTTCATAGTACTCTCTCTATCGTTGAACAAGACAAGGTATATATATCTTCTCCCGCGCGATACTATTCTGACGAATCACTTTTGTGTGCGTTGCAAAAGAATGTAAAAAAATTATTTTCTCCTCCCTTCCGTTCCTAGGTATTTGATTATGCACCTGACGGTGTTAGGAAATGCATTGTTGCAACTAATATCGCGGAAACTTCTATTACCATTGATGGAATCAGATTTGTCGCTGATAGTGGAAAAGTGAAGGAAATGAGTTACGATCCGTCGTGTAAAATGCAAAGATTGAAAGAATTTTGGATAAGCAAAGCCAGTGCGGAACAAAGAAAAGGGAGAGCAGGCAGGACTGGACCTGGGGTTTGTTACAGGTAACTCTCTCTCTCTCTCTCTCTCTCTCTCTATATATATATATATATATATATATATATATATATATATATATGTATACTCATACTCTACTTCAATCATTTTATTATACATGAAGGAGTATCCAGAGATAAAAAAACACGTGTCCTTTTTCAGAATTTATTCGGAGGAAGAGTACAAGACGTTGGAAAAATATTCAACGCCAGAACTACAACGTGTACCTTTAGATTCTTCACTATTGCAGATGATAGCGATGGGACTTCCTGATGCGCGAAAGTTTCCATTTATAGAACCACCACCAGCCAATAGTCTAGAAAACGCTATACTATCCTTAAAAGATCACGTTGGTATCCTGGGCTATTTTTTGCTTTCCTCGCAAAGTACCAGATATTAAGTTAACTCTTTCCTCACTAGGACGCACTTACGGATAACGAAAAGATCACGTGTATCGGTAAAACCCTGGCTCGGCTGCCCGTTGATATCGCGATAGGGAAGATGTTAATAATGGGATCCATTTTTCATCAGGTGGAACCCGTGTTATCCGTGGCCGCTGCTCTAAGTATACAAACACCGTTCACTAACAGGGCTTACAGGGACACCGAATGTGAGGTACGTAGTGCTAACGTATAAGATAACTGCGCTACTAATATTGCGTATGCAATAATGAAACAATATTATTGCAGACATCTAGAAAGAAGTTGGAATCTGATCATGGTGATCCAATAACGTTATTGAATGCATTTAAAGAATGGCTGGAAGTGAAACAAGAAAATTCACAGGAATATAGAAGCAGTAATAACAGCAGCAGAAAGTGGTGCAGAAGAAGAGGTTTGGAGGAACAACGGTTCTACGAAATGACGAAATTGAGGGCTCAATTTAAAGACTTGCTCCAAGTTAGTTTATGTGCCTCGTACATTCCTTACATCTTATATCTTACACCATGAATGTACATTCGTTACACGACATATCTAATACTACTTTTTGTTTGCTTCTATGTGCTGTATTCTATGTACGTAACATCGTGTGCAGGACTGCAATTTACTCAAGAGCCTCCCAGAACCAAATTCTTCCATGACGAGTGCAGAACGTGCGATAAGGCATGGAGAATTGAAACTTTTGAAATCTCTCAAAAGAACTTACAAGCAAAGTGAGCCTAAAAGGCGTAAACGGTTGAAGGTAGAAACATTCGATATACACGTGGAGGATAATGACGAGGATAATGGAGAGCTCGACATAAAAGATATAGAATTTCGAATGAGGAACGACTCGAGTCAGGTGCAGAATCTTTTAACGGCGTCTACCGCATGTAGCTATAAAGATCTGACAATGTTGAAGTTGATATTATGTAGTGGTTTATATCCACAATTTGCTTGTGCCGACGAGTTTAATTATTGCAAGGTAAATTACTTGAAATTATATTCCGTACGTATAGTTAATACTTAAAGACGTGAATCTAAAGCTCAAAACTAGAAAAGATATTATGTATAGATGTGTGATATTTTGCGCTTTCTGAATATTATAATAAATTTAAAAAAATATTCTGAACTATATCGACAAATATACGTACGAATCGTTCTGTACTTGATTAAAATGATATATTTATATGATAAATGTGTATCTTTAAACTATTGTCCACAGTCTATAAGTGAACAATTATTTCACACAAAAGCGAAACCGTACGTTGCTTTGCATCCAATGAGCTTTTTCGGAAATCATCCACAAGTTCTGCAAATTGATGAAGCGGATATAACGCCAATGCCAGGATTTAAGAGCAAGACTCCTGTAAGCTCGAAACATCAGATATTGGCGTATCTGTAAGTCTTTATTATACATATAGCTTATAGCTCATAGCTCTGTTAATAACTTGCCGAATGTGAGTAAATTTAAACGCTTTATATAATATGCCAATATTATTAATAGATCCCTCTTGGAAACTACAAAACCGTATCTGGTAAATACTTTAAGAATGCCTGCTGCACAAACGTTGCTATTATTTGCGCATGAAATAGATACAAATAGTACGTTCTCCATGTAAGTTACTTTGTAAATTTTATAATTTCCTAATGGAATATATAGCAACAGTTTGATAATACGATGTAAAACGGCCTTTACGTCTTATAGAATAGCATGCGATTCGTGGCTGATGTTAGAGTTTCCTGTTCCTGACAGTGGTCAAGTTTTATTATTGAAAGCTGCCAAATTAAGAAATAAATGGGATTTCTTATTAAATCAGCAATTACAAGGCAAGAAATGCATTTCAGATTATTAAGTTTATGCGCGCGCGCGCGCGCGCGCGTGTGTTTGTTTGTGTGTGTTTCTTTTAAGTAAATCTAGATTAAATGTGCCGTGTAAAATTATACATGTGTTATGTTATGTTAGGATCCGACAGTGCTGACGACGAAAGAAAAGATTTTAGTAAAGTTGAGCAAAGTCTTACGTACGACGTGATCGAATATATGCATACTACGATACCATATACCATAAGACGGCTGTTACCAGCCGATCTGAAAATAATGTACGTTGGCAACGGCAATAATGACACGAGTATAGAGCCTAATCCTTTCCAATCCGATTTTAAAAGTATACCAAACATAATTAAAGGTGGAGCTTGTGTGACAAATACTATCACGTATAATTGGTGAGTACTTGGAAGTAATTGGTGAAAAAATATTAATATACTGTAAGATGTGATAACTTAAATTGTCACTGTATATATAAAATGTAAAAGTAAATATTAGATTGGATACAATGATCAATGTTTTTAATGAAACTTTCATTGTTACATTATAGCATAAAAGAAAGTACGTGGAGTGAACAGCTAATTGTAGAAATGCAAGAAACCGAATGGCATTGTGAAAATTGTGATCTTCGAGCACGTCTATCGAGTATCGAAAAACTTCAACATCAGAACTCTTGCACAATCGCAGATACGATTAGTGTCGATAAAAAGAGTGAAAATATCATACGTAAAGCTAATAGTCAAGCATACGAATGTCCTGATTGTTCGCTAACATTATATTTCACGCCTATCGAAATATTGAAGCATAAAAAATTGCACATCAAAGCAAGCTAAGACATCTATCGATTGTATATAAATGCATTATGTATTGTTTATTGGAAGGTAATGTTTTTTTTTTTTTTTTTACATATAAATAGTTCTCTTTTTATTTCGTAGAAATATACAACAAGCGTTTCATCGAAAAGTAATATGCCTATTCACAGAATTCTACATATTACCTATCTACACACGTAAATTCAGAAGACATAAAAACAGTTATCTTCCTTTAAATATTTATACAAAATAATAAACGTAATATTCTACTATTCACAAACACTTTTCGACTCCAAAGATTATTCTTTACACAAGATTATATATTCGAAAAATTTAGAAACGTTCACGCAATAAAAAGAGGATAAACAGGAAGGACGTTTCTCGCACGTATATAGAATTTGTAACATATCAAGTCCATGGCAAGAAATTTGCAAACATAAAACATCCTACGATTGTATATCCTATAAAGTAAAATAATACAAATTTATCTTGCAATGTATATCGATTTTGAGATAAGAAAAATACTTTCCACTTGGAACACATATTTTCGTCACTTTCGTATCGTAAATCGATATGGTCAACGCATTTGTGAGACACGGTCAACGCGCAATACCAATATGGCAAGGGAGTTGCAGAGGCTAATAAACGTGTGCTGACTTGGATATGTACAAAGAATAAGCAAAATATGGTTAGAAATAAACCATGTACCACAAAGACAAACATGTTCAATGGATATTTCTTTACAACAGCACCTTCGCTTTTCGCCTTGCTGTCAAAAAATCCTAACAAATACCATTCATCCCTATATTCACGAGAAAATTCTTTTATGCACTGCGACATAATATACAATATCGGGAGAGCTAAAATAAAATTTGGTATTTGTTTAAATTGATAATATCTTAAGAATCCTACATTCCAATATGTTCTTTGCACATACGAATATGCTAAAGGCAACGTAGCATTACACCACGTTATATCTATACTACCTGGTAGACATAGATTATTGTCTGTGGCATATTGTAAAATGTGAGCTGGCAATAACGACTTATCGTCGAACGTAGAAGTACAAAATTTCATATAATTGTATATTTGTAAAAGAACAAATGGAGATAGTGATATAATTATTGTGCGTAACATGGCAAAATAGTTTTTTAATTTGATTAATTTCAAAATATGCCACAAGACTGATAGTACGTCGTGCTTTCGTTGATGTTTTTCTATTCTTTCCGACGTGCACAAATTTTTAAGCCCGAAATATATAGGGAAGCCAATGTTGACGACACCATTTGATCTCACCAAAGTTGACAAAGCCACGGGAAAACAGATGGTAGATATACCTTCGATACTTCCAAGCATGGTATAAAATGTTAAATACGCAAACATGGATTCTGAATATAGAGCTGAGAAAAATATGCTAGCCGGGTTTATACAGTAAAGTATCGCTGCTTTATACGCCGTTATGGTATTTTGAAATACACGCTCAGTGAGATCATAAAAGATAATAGCCGATTTTACAAAACACACGAAATTAATCAAAATCGCAGCAAGGATCATCGTACTTTGGATGTTGAATGAAGGAAAGATTTTTGTCAAAATAACAGCGATAATGCGAATCATAGCTGGATACAACGGATAAAAAGCGAGAGTATTTTCATACGTGTATCCATATCTTGCAATATGTAAAAAGTACTCTCCATCCCAACATGTAAGGCCATTGAACAGAAAATTAATTATTCGGTCCCAGGAGGAAACTTTCTCCGCAGAAAGGTCTAAAGGTCTTTTAAACGCGTCCGCGTGATGATCGGGGATTGATACATTGAAAATTACTTGTAATATTAATATCGCGATTCTAGTGGTGATCGCGAACCAAAGAACTTTCTTTCTCGGCGCGTACATTTCGCGCTGCTTTTGCGCAAAGTGCGCTTGAATTTCTATAACCGTATAGCCCCGGACGTACATCCATCTACGCGTAATAAATTAAGAAATAAATCTCTCGTAATCACGTTGCTCGTGGTCTACGTATATCTGCCAGTGATTCATATTTGTGGTTTCCTGTGTGGACACTCTTATCGTCTACGACGAGGAAGTAGTCTAATCAGGCCGCTTGTAACGCACCAAACTCGGTAGAGATCACTCGCGGTAGAACGTGCTGCAGCTCTGAATAAATGAGTGCTAGATGAGTGCTGGATATTGCTGGATATTGCTGGAAAAGATCATTCTGTGTAGCGTTAATGGAGAACAACATGTATCTCGCCTTAAATTTATTCATTATCGTAATTAATTTTTCATTAATTGTTGCACAAAACGCTACAACACAACGGCAACCTCCACTTACACCTACGCTGGACCCGAATAGACGTACGTATAAATACATATGTATCTCATACATTATATCTCAAGCTATATAAATCTGATAGCTTTGGTTGATCTGAATTTCTTTCTTATCTCTTACATGAATTCGCGCTTTACTTTTTTCTCGCGCATTTTACAGTTTCCACATATTGAATTGATATAAAAATACACTAAGATATGTCCTATATGCTAGATTTCAAGAAGCCAGACAAGAACGTGGTCGGTGAAACGTTCGCCAAGGACTTGACAGATTGGTTGTTTACCGGATGTTGGGGTGGAAATAACAATCAACGAAATAAATGCTCACCGTATCGCACAGCATCGAATATCGAATATCCTGGTTACGATGGATGGTACAACAACGTTGGTAGACCGGAACTAGGTGCGGTCGATACTCCGTTGTTAAGAAGACTGCCAGCAGCTTATGAAGATGGAGTGTATAAACCTTCAGGCTCTAAAAGACCGGAACCATTAGAGATAAGTGAGAAGCTGTTGAGCGGAAAAATTGGATCTAAATCAAGAACGGGGAGAAACGCTCTACTTGTATTTTTCGGTACGCGAAAAACCGATTCGTCTTATACAATCTTACGTATCTTAAAAATTACATTATTATTATTTGTAAATACCTCGAAAATATAACATATATTATATCATATCATATGATATGTATGTATGTTATGTCAAATATGTTATGTATAAATTTCAAATCTCTCTCTCTCTCTCTCTCTCTCTCTCTCTCTCTGCGCAATTTGAAAAAATATGTGCTCAACAGGCCAACAGGTGGTGGAGGAAATTTTAGATGCTCAGAGACCAGCTTGCCCGCCCGAGTATATTAACATAAAAATTCCGAAAAACCATCGATACAGAATAAATAAACCGGGGCACACGGAAATGCCTGTTTTACGTACACGGTACGATCATCGGACGGGCCATTCGCCGAACAATCCTCGTCAACAGGTATGACACGAGCTCCCCTCCGACAATGCTTTCCGAGCGCGCACAGATTTAAATAGATTGCGATTGCAGCTGAACGAGATCACGCCATTCTTAGACGGTGGATTGATCTACGGTACATCCAAAGCGTGGTCCGACGTTTTAAGAACGAGCACTGGGGGAATATTGCAGGAGGACGGGCAACTTGCGTCGTCGGATTTTCCTCTGTATCCGGACTACAACACCGTTAGATTACCGATGGCCAATCCACCGCCGCCTATTCATCATCATCAATATGTCTCGCGACATTACACCGAGAGCGTCACCAGATATTTCAGTGAGTGAGAAAGTTTATTATACAAACAATATACAACAAATAACATATAGAGATACGTGCTAAGAATTTTGTCAGAATTTTGTGCCGCAGATGCGTTTAGCGTAGTCGGCTATATGATGCTCCTTCGGGGTACATTCGTACTCGATCTTCTCCGAATAAGGCATCGGGACGTCGATGCCGGCGCATCGGACCGCAGGTGCGTCGAGCTGAAAAAAGACTGGATTCTCCATGACTGTCGCGACAATCTCGGATCCTACTCCGCATCTAGGCCAGCCCAGTTCAACGGTCATTAGTCTGTGCGTTTTGCCGATCGACTTGAATACCGTATCCCAGTCCAAGGGTCTTAGCGATCGTAGATTGATAACTTCCGCCTCGATACCTTGCCCAGCCAACAGCTCGGCCGCTTGAACCGTATACACGTACGCCTGGCCGTGCGTCACTAGAGTGATGTGCTTGCCAGGCTTCTCCACCTTGGCCTTGCCAATAGGTATCTGGTAGTCCTTGTCCATAGCTTGGTCGGATACGGGAAATTCAATGTTGTAAAGTAGCTCGCTCTCCAGCATGATGACAGGATCGGGATCTCGCACAGCCGCCTTCAAGCAGCCCCTGTAATCCTCGCAGGTCGACGGCGACACGACCTTCAAGCCGGGCGCGCTCATGAACCACGCGGCAAAGCACTGAGAATGCTGCGCGGCCAAACCTTTGGCGTTACCGTTCGGACCGCGAAATAGGATGGGAATGGGAAATCTTCCGGCGGACATGTAGAGATTCTTCGCGGCGCCATTGATAATACGGTCGATGGCTTGCATGGAGAAATTGAAGGTCATAAACTCGCATATCGGCCTTAGGCCTAGGAGCGCCGCGCCGATGGCGATACCACAGAATCCAGCCTCCGTGATCGGCGTGTCGATCAACCGCTTGTCGCCGTACTTCTTCCAGAGACCGCGCGTTATCTTGTAAGCGCCGTCGAATTCCGCGACCTCCTCACCTATTATGAATACCCTTTCGTCCCGAGCCAGCTCCTCGTCGAGGGCCGTATTCAACGCGTCGCGCACTGTCATCTTCGTCATCGATCTGCGGAACGCTTGGCTTTCGCCAAGGATACGCTGCCTCGTTACTCGCGTCAGCATTCCTTTACTTACAGCACTCCTCGACAGTCGAGAAAGATCGGATCTTCAATCGGACGAACAAATTTATATTTCTGCCCTTCTATTCGCGCGGCAGAAGCAACGCTTGTTGCGTCGCCGTCAACACATATGTGTGTTTCAGAATTAGGAAATCCTCGAGGGAACGAAAATCCGTTCTTGCTCACTTTCGGTATAATATGGTTCAGATGGCACAATTTCGTGGCATCTCACATTAAACGCCTCAATCCAAAATGGTCGAGCGACAAAGTTTACAACGAGGCCCGTAAGTGGGTGATAGCGGTTCAGCAACACATTGTCGTCAACGAATGGTTACCTTCGTGGCTGGACGATAGACTTCCTGCGTATGAAGGTAAGAAAGATCAATTTTCATACAAGAAGAGCAGCTGCCGCTCTTAATCTATATGCGATCCAAATGACACGTTGTTCGTTGTTCAAAGGTTACAATCCCAATATTGATCCGCAGATAGATCAATTTTTCCAATCGGCTGCTTTCCGCTTCGGGCATACCTTGGTTCCACCAGGTAAGCAACGCTCCAGTTGACAGCTCCACTGATCAAACGGACAATATTATGGCCCCGTTGCTCTTGCCTCTTATTCACGTGTTTGCGTCGTTCTTTTCATTCACGTGTATGTATGTACTACATACATACAAGATGATGCAAAAAAGACCTAAGATTTTTAATAATGAACGCAGGGGGGAGGGGGAGGTTTAATATTTAATTAAACCTCCGCATCACGTGAAAATCATCATGGAAATCATATATAAAGCTGCGCGTTATAATAACCTACGCGTGTGTGCCTCGTTATAGTAGTTATAATACGTGTAATAATAATGAAATAACATAATGAAATAACATCGACACGCAATAATCGCAATAATCATTCTGTTGTGTCCAGGTGTGTACTTACGCAACTATGGGAGAAATAATTGTTCCTTGGAATCACACCCAATTAGAACATGCAACAATTACTGGATGTCACAGGTATCTTGCAATGACACCTACATTACACATTACACATGTTTTGATTTTCGACGTCGATTACGACGTTACGACGTTCGAAACGTGTTTGTGCGTAATGTATGTACATGATGAATCGTTGTACTTAGAATTCTCTCCATGCCAATTTAACAAGAATAAAGGATGTTATCGATGTGGAGAAATTACTAATGGGAATGGCTATTCAATTATGCGAAGAGGAGGATCATAAAATCGTTGAAGATCTACGGGGCAGTTTGTTCGGTCCATTAGAATTTTCCAGAAGAGATTTAATGGCACTTAATATTCAGAGAGGACGTGACCATGGAGTACCTGATTACAATAGTGCCCGTCGTGCCTACGGTCTGGCGGAAGTTAAAAACGTATCCCATTTTAATCGCGTGAATGTCACGGTACGTTGTATAAAACTCATTTCTCTCCTATATTCCTATATTTGTGCCGCAGCACGATATAAAAGATACACATCCGTCGTGTTTCGGGTAAGATACGGGAGGAGTTTCTCAGATTGTACAACAATTCGTTCGATGACGTGGATGTCTGGGTAGGCGGAATACTAGAGACTGGTGATGGACCCGGAGAGTTGTTTCAAAGAATCATTCGTGATCAGTTTCAGCGAATACGCGACGGTGACAGGTTTTGGTACAATAATACCGCAAATAGGTGCGTACGTGCAAATTCCTGTTTCAGTTTACCTCCTCCCATTTCACGTTTGCATATCATATCCTCCATATGATTTTCTTTGTAGACTTTTCACCGACAAGGAAGTTGAAAGACTGGAACAATTATCGTTTTACGATGTGCTAATGTGTACCACTAAGATGGACTGGAATGATATTCCAAAGAATCCTTTCAGAGTTCCTACCACAGGTAAAGAAAGAGATACATGTTGATTCGCAATGGTTGATGGTAATTAAAATAACTAGATATACCTAGATATTGTCGCTGCTTTTACAGCGAATGGCATACATCCCAGTTGTATCAATAATAAAATTGTGAAAGAAGGCAGATGTACAAATGGTCCCTGTTTTCACGCCGATCAAATAGACGAATACACAATTGAGACGTGCACAGAGCCTGGAACTTATGATTTTTTCTCCAACAGCGGCATATCCTTCATCTTTACATTCTTAGGTGTATCAACGTTGTTTTTTGGTAAAAATCCTGTTACTCCCATTCAAGTCTCTTGTGACGATGTCACATCACTTAATCCTAATACTACGTTTGACGCAGGTTTTATTACATTAATCGGTTTTAAAATACAATTCAAAGATAAGAAATCAGCGAAAGAAAATGTTATGTATAGAAAAGTAGACCATAGTGATAACATAGGTATTATACATACCGGTAAGTTTTCAACAAGCACTTATGTCATACATGTATGTCATATCTCACACGTGTATTAACGAAGATATTGTTTCGTCAACAGCTAGCGAATGGCAGGAGCCAAGAGCTTCTCTGAGATGCGTAATATTAGTGCCAAACGTAAGAAAGAACCAACTGGAGGTGAAAAATCAATTGGGGCACCTGATACGCGCGGTGGATTTTCCATCCAATAGCAGGGTCACGGTATCTTTCCTTTCCTTCCTTTTCTTTCTCCTTTTCTTCAATGATACATCAATAACATACGCGCTACCTTCTTCTTTCCTCTTACAGATTTACTGTGCATCTGACAGTCATTATACGTTGATTCGTGTACATCACAGTTACGACTTAGTGCTAAAGTTCGATTCTGACTTTTTGAGAAGCGCATTTATAAAAGCATTTGAAAAATTTATATCAGAAATCTCAACGTCCGGGGATGCACGCTTAGTGCAAATGATAACTAATACCACGCATGCGGCACTACTTAAGCAAGCGATAACCAAGAAGCACCGTCAAAAAAAATTAGAAATGTTTTTCCGTGTTGTATTTGCGCAGGTATATCTCTTTTCTCTCTTTTTCTTTGTTGAAATAAACGTAAGACAAAAAATATATTTAAATAATATCTTATTTAACTAGAAATTTTTATCGAGACTCGTGTAATACATGTCCGCGAAATGTCTTCAGGCATTCCATATCGCGCATACGGAAGAAGAAATTTTAAAAATAGATTCGACAGTGGCACGAGAAGTAATTTATACCGAGTTGACCATCATAGAATTTGCGGAAGCCCTGAGTATGCGACCGGACGCCGAGTTCGTAAAGAAGGTGACATTTGTGTCAAATAACACGTCGTGCTAACGATCCGAATACGTCAAAGATATCGAAAGATTTATGTTTGCAGATATTTCATCTAGTGGACAAGGATAGAAACGGCTTCATATCGTTTCGGGAATTTGTCGATATGTTGGTGATATTTCTGAAGGGTTCTGCTGAGGAGAAGATGAAGTTGATGTTTGACATGTACGACATCAATGGTACAGGAAGACTGAAGAGAGAAGAGTTCTCAAATATGTTAAGGTTGTACACCTTATATCAATCGTCTAATTCTAAACAACGCTTTCACGTGCGTCTGCTGCATATGTGATGTATCAAAGTGTGATTACAGTACCTACGTTATTGTTAAACATATACATGTACGTAGATCATTTATGGAGACCGTCAACGCTGACGTCACGGACGATGAGCTGGAAGCTTTGGTGCAATCCATGATGTATCACGCTGACTTGGCGAATAAAGAGAGGATAAATCTACAAGACTTTCAGCAGATACTAAGTGACTTTAATGATAAATTTAATTACGCGGAATTGGAATTCAACGTGCCTACGGACGGGAAAAGCAACAGGAAACTTCACGCGGGCGTGAAGACAGTTAGATCGACGTTTATTGGCGAGGTACAAAAGACGGTGGAGAGTCTGTATGCCGATCCAAGCGAATTGCAATCCAGAGTCGAGGGCAAAGTTGAAAGCGTTGAACGAGATGCAAAGGAAGAGAAAATTAATAGCGAAATTATCGACAAGGACGAAAAAATTGTCGAAGAAATTAAGAGACACTCGGACGATTATTGGTATCCTATAATGAAGTACCTTGCTAACAAACGACTGCAGATATTCTGGGCATGTTTATACACTTTGTTCCTGCTTGGGATTTTCGCGGAACGAGTATATTGTACGTCCTTCGAGTCAATCCAATCTTTTTCGCGCGATGGTAAACGATCCGCTTTTACAGATTACTCCGTACAACGGGAACATTCTGGTTTAAGACGGATATTAGGCTACGGCTTGACTATAACGAGAGGTGCAGCGTCAGCTATGATGTTTACTTATTCTACGTTATTAATTATGATGTGTCACAACACTATCACTATTCTGAGGACCACAACTCTGCAATTCTACATTCCCTTCGATTCAGCGATCGAAATGCACAAGTATATCGCTTGTTGGGCACTGGTGTTTACCGGTGAGATATTCTTATTCAAAGTTGCATGTATCCTTACCTGACACACACACACACACAAACACACACAGCCAATTAAGTCTTCTCTTTTTACTTTTAATACTTTTAGCGTTACATACAATTGGACATGGCTTCAACTTTTATCACATATCTACGCAAACTGCCGATGATCTGACGTGTTTATTTCGCAATTATTTCCACGCGTAAGTTTACTTTGCCTTTTTTAATTATTTCACGTACTTACAATTATTTTATCATACGCATCGTCGTTGCATGACGTTTATTGATGTGATTTCTAGGACGCACGAACTTCCCAAGTTCCATTACTGGTGTTGGGGTACAATGACAGGTATAACGGGAGTATTTTTAACCATTTTGACTGGATTAATATTTGTGTGCTCGTTACCGATGGTACGCAAATCATTCTATAACTGGTTCTCTTTTGTACACTCCTTGTACCCAGCTTTCTATATACTGATGGTTTTACACGGCAGTGGAAGATTAGTACAGGTAATATTGATATTTTTAGTATACATATGATAAATAATAAAATTCAGTTGTATTTTTGTACACTTGAAACGTACGTATTTGCATTACCGGTGGTTGCGTAACTGAAAATCCATTTTATCTTACCATTTGATAGGAGCCATACTTTCATTATTTCTTTCTGGGGCCAGCTATTCTATTTATTCTCGATAAAGTCGTAGCTGTAACTAGAACAACGACAGAAATACCAATACTCAAAGCAGAAATTCTGCCATCAGGTACTTCTTAAGCTTAAGTAACTTGTCTACTTCCTCATGCATATTCATTTACATATATGTCGTATATGTCGTAGATGTAACGTGTATAACATTTCTCAGACCTTTAAATTTTCAATATAAATCTGGTCAGTGGATTAAAATAGCATGCCCAGCGTTACAGACAAATGAGTATCATCCGTTTACTTTATCTTCCGCGCCACACGAAACGAATTTAAGTATACACGTACGAGCGGTCGGACCATGGACCACAAATATTAGGGAGAAACTAGATCTATGCGCAATGTCTAATGAAAACTTACCGATGGTAAGCCTAATGATTATTATTGCATATCGCACATTGGATAATAAATGATTTGCTAACGTAACGAAGTTTTTATGTCATGTCATGTCATGTCATATTATCCATTTATCTCGATAGATTCACATAGATGGCCCGTATGGAGAAGGTCACCAAGATTGGGACAAATATCAAGTGGCAATCATGGTCGGTGGTGGTATAGGTGTCACGCCCTTTGCATCGATACTCAAAGATATCGTTTTTAAGTCGAATTGCAAGTTAAACTTTGGTTGCAAGAAGGTAATAACATCGCCATCGATACTATGATGGTAAAAAGAACAACTGTCGTAAAATTTCTATACGTATTCCATGTATAGGTATATTTCCTTTGGGTAACGAGAACGCAAAAACAATTTGAATGGATGGTCGACATATTGAGAGAGCTCGAAAAAGTAGACGTCAATAAAACAGTGTCTACTCATATTTTTGTTACTCAGTTCTATCAAAAATTCGACCTACGTACGATACTTTTGGTAAGAAAATTATCTAAATTGATAAGCGCAGCTGTGTTATCGTTTAGCTTGACAAGATTTCATCATAAATAATGTTAATTAAATTTACTTTCAGTATATTTGTGAACGTCATTTTCAAAAGATTTCAAATAAGTCTCTGTTTACGGGCTTAAAGGCTGTGACGCATTTTGGACGACCCAAGTTTTCTCAATTTTTCCTATCTATACAGAAGTTACATCCTACTGTAAGTTACATCCTCCTTTTCATTATTATTATTGTCATTATTTATCGTAGTAGTAGTAGTAGTCGTTGTTGGTTGTTGTTGTTGTTGTTATATAATCATCGTCAACAGATGATATTAATTCTATGTCACATAATCCCTCTAGAATCTTACTAGCTGTATCAAATGCTTTCAATTATTTAAATTATACATATAGGTACAACGCGCAGTCGAAACAATTTTTGTTCCAGGCAAATAAGATTGGTGTTTTCAGTTGCGGAACACCAGCTATGACACAAGCAGTAGACGCAGCTTGTAAAGCGATTAATCTAACAGAAATTAACGATACGTTATTTCAGCATCATTATAAAAGCTTCTAATGCCCATTTCTACCAATGTAGATTAACTTTAATCTTGGTTTAACTTACTTTCTATCTTTTTCTAACTTTTAGAGAACTAGGAAAAGATGACAGGTAAGTTAAACCAAGATTAAAATTAACCTGCGTTGATAGAAATGGACATAAGTTATTTAGTATAATATTTTGTATCCGACAGAGACTCAAATGTGTATTTTTCATATTAATTATAATTTTTATATATCTTTATTTTTCTCAACTGGTATTTCTCTAATGAATTACATTCATAAAATATTTTTGATTATGATACATAAACTCCATGTATTTGCATTAATGTTAAAATATCACAAGATAAGTGAGTATTTTCTACACTAACCACGTGAATAATGTGTGTTCGCGCGCGCGTGTGTCGCATCATTCATTAATATCAATAAAATTGTGTAATAATAAGAATTTAAGTGATATTCCTTGACACTCCCAAATTGCAATATTCTTTCACATAACCTAACCTTTCGCATAAATGGATACAAGCTATACTCACACGTATATGCGCTTTATGGTTATAGCCTTTATCACAGTCATAAATCATAAACGTGATCTCGATAAAGATTCCCGCCGTTGTATCCTATTAAATGAATTAAAAAGTACACAAATGACAGAATAACTTTGAAATGGAATATTGGGTTAGGACGATTATATATCGTGTCAAAGTCAAAAACACAATGGTTAGGTTAAGGTCACACTAATTATGTTGTCATGTTGGCAACCCTTTTAACAACCGTTAGGCTGAGTTTCCACTGAGCGCGTCACGCGAGCGTCATCACAAGATATGACTTCTGCACACAGAACGCGAAAATAGCCAATCAACGTGTTGCTTTTCCGTAAGAACCAAAAGTTTATTGGCTACTGCGTCGCTTCTTGCCGCGCGGCAAGCGTTTCCGCGTCCTGTGGGCAGAAGCCATTAACCAATCAAAACATCCCATTTTGATACCGTCACAAGTAATGTAATAAAATGGGATGTTTTGATTGGTTAACTTGTGATGACGCGACGCGTGACGCGCTCAATGGAAACTCAGCCTTAATCGGGGTTTGGTCGAAGTGGCCCTAAACTTGAGGATTTTCTTTCTCTTGATTGATTACATTAGAATTCAATCTCAATTCATACGACCGATTTCACGGTCTCCGATTAACTTGATCCTCCGATTAAACTCAGTAAACTCACTCTG